TAGATATTTAAAGCAAAAATATATGTATATGTATATAGTTAATTCTAACAAATAATATGTTAATTGGCTGACATAAGTTGAAAAAAATACGTTTTTGGGTTACTGAAAGTAGTGACAGCGTGCTCCAAAATAACGATCAAATCCCGCGAAACAGCTGTCACCGTTTGATCGTTTGTTTAGCAGAAAAACGAAACTTCAGTATTTGGAAGAAAAACAATTAACATACATGCTTTAATAGCGGTTCAGGATCAAGGATTAAGTTGTCCAGGCTTGATCTCAACCACTTTATTATGCTAATAATGAAGATGAAGACGGCTGATAAAACACAAAACATTTTATTTACAGAGTTCGAACGTTTCGGAATACATTCCTAACCATCTTCAACGAAATCTGAAAATCGTGTAACAAAGATGATTATTAATTAAAACTACAATATCATAATCACTAGTTTACTTAATTATTAAAATAATTAGTAAAAGGAAAGATAAAACAAAAGGTTATAGATATATTGCAAAACAGTTGAGTTTTAGGCGTAAAAAGTTAGAATATTTTTAGATCTAAAGAGCTTTGTGAGTTATTAAGAGTCGTGCGGTCTTCAGCTATGATTAAACTTTATTTAATATAGAGTTCAAGGTCTGAAGATCCTGTGGCAATGAGAGAGAAATCGTTAAATAAAATATTGTGACCCGTGGTTTCAGAATGTGAACGAATGGATGAGTGTCTGAGTTCACAGACTCTAGTTTTTAAGTGGCGTTTTGTTTTCCCAATGTACGTGACCTTACAGTCACTACACGTATATTTATACACGAGTCATGAACGTGGAAGTTTAGGTACTTGATCTTTATACTGAAATAAGTTTTTAATGCGGAGACTAGGTCTGTATATTAGTCTGAGCTGAATATGATGGTAGAAGTTTTTTATTAGAGAGGAGAGTTGTTTTTTAATTTGTAGGAACTGTGAACCCCTAAAAGAAGGGAGGTAATGAGGGGAAATTTGGGGACGGTGTGCACATGGACTGGTGTTTGGAATCTGTTGTTTAAGAAATTGCGTGCAATCTTCGTTAGAAAATCAGTTTTAGTTAATACTCAACTTGGTTACACGATTTTCAGATTTATCTGAAGATGTAATGAGTGTATTTCGAAACGTTCGAACCTTGTAAATAAAATGTTTTGTGTTTTATCAACCATCTTTATCTTCATTATTAGACTTCGGTTTCCCCATCATGAATCCATTGCTACATTATTATGCTTATTTTGAATACTACAGTGTGTTCTGGTTGCAATACTTTATCTACTTCAGCTACGAAGGTAATAAACAACTAGGATTCAAATTCACATTTACCGAAATTTTAAAGAAATAATTCATATTTAAAGGCAAATGAAAATAAAATAAAAATTACCATTAAATATGTTTAAATAAATAGTACAGTCTACAGGGTGGTGCTGCGCTCGCTAAATTTCGAACTCTTCAACATTGAGGTGTACTAGTATATAATAAATTGCCTGCAGGTGCTACGGTTAATTGTTTTTTTACTTCAAGGCATTATTTTACAAAGTTATATTTTTTATGAAAGAAGCCACCAAATCATATAGTTAAAATAGTTATGGAACTGAGAAGTTGCATGAAAATGTAATTAAGGTTTCCGATTTTTTCTACAAAAATGTGAAGACCCAAGAAAACCAGAACTTCATTATGGCTTTAAGTATTTGTTGAAAGAAAATTATCAGCACGAGACCACTAACTTGGTCAATGTTTTAAAGCGGCAACAAAAGAAGATGCAAGCGTTAAGGAAGAGATAAAGATAAATATAGAGAATTCTACGGTGATGTTGTTGTTTGTAATTAAGCACAAAGATACACCATGTCCTATATGTGCTCTGCCCAACACGTGTGTCAAAACCCGTTTTTTAGCGTTGCAAGTCCGCTGACATACCGCTGTGCCACTGGGGAGCATTTTCCTCGAAGAAGATGAACTGTACGGTTATTCAGTTACTTACAGGTTAGTGTTAAACTTGAGTATTTGTTACTATGTGACTGGTATTACAGGTACATTACTGTGTTTTTTCCCACTAACATGCTACAGAGATATGTTATTTCCAATAACTGATGAGCAACTATTAACGCAACTGATCCATTCTTCCCAAAATAGCCTTTGTCATCCACATTGCTTCTTATTGTGGAAATACCGATATGTTTCTTAGTATTGCAGTACTGAGTTTTGTGCTTCACCAGTAACCGCAAGCCTGTTATTCAAGGCTTCAACAAAAGATAAAAGGATGTCCGAGCCACTCCGAGTCTACAGTCGCAACTCAACTTTATCTATAGGCCACTTCAAGAATAAAAACATAAAAATAGTGATAGCATTATAGCTGTTGGGAAAAACAATAAGAAAGTGAAGCCGGAAATATATTCCCGAAATGTGTTTCTTATTTACTGTCTGCCTATATCTATACGTATGTTATGTCATATAAGCCTTTGACTACTAAATAGAAGATCTAACTTAATGAAAATTATTACTTTTTCTGTAGATATTTAAAAATACACTTAATACACATACAAATGCTTCAATTAGTTGAACACTCTTATTTCCAGGTAACAGTTTAATTAACCGTGGAATAATTATTATTGGTTCCATAATTTATCAATGTGACTGTAGGTAACGTACCCATTTATAACTTACCAATATGTATTTCACAAATTCTTTATTATCGTGAAGAAGAATAAAGCGCTCGAATTTTGGTTCTTTTTTTTAAATTTATACTTCACAAAAACATTTTTTTTCTGCAATATAGACCTATTTAAATAAGAAACTCCAAGAAAACATTTTTCTACCGTATTTTCATAATGTTAATAGGGTTAATCAGATATTTTCTGTATTAGTTTGTATCCAAGTATTCGCTACATCGTATTAAATTTATTGTTACCTATTCTATAGTCGCCAACGTTACTTTTATTACTAGCGGCAGAGAGCCACTTGGCCTTTGATCTTTCCTTAAGTGTTTAGACTTTCTCGTCCCATTCTGTCTTAATCACGTTTCCAAGTGAACTACCTAAACTTACGTATTGCTGTCACGTTTTCCTCTAGACGTTTTTGTTACTCCATCACACAACCTTTCCGATTACATTTTAATTTTACTTAACCTAGCCCTTTTTTATAATAGCAGGTATATTTTCCTGATTAGATCAATAAGTTTCACATTTTTCGTTTGTACTTGTGGGGGGAGGATTACGAACATGTATAAAACAAAATTTAATACAACAAGAGTTGTTGTTGTTGCCTCTTAATTTCTTCTAGCTCTTTTAGTTATTTACAAGGTAGTCAGTGCCTGGTGATAACAGTTGTCCGTAGAATCAACCTCAATCCAAATGCTATAGTCTTTCTTAAAAGTTTTAGTTGGAGGTTTGTTCAATGGTATAATCAGCCCCGCTGTAATAAACAGGTGTTTTAAAGACCCAGATCGTTTTTTTACAACCTTAATCCTGATTTGTTTTCCAATGATAAATCATTCGCTGTCGATGATTCGCTGCTCAGTGACAGCGTAGGAGGAAAGTGATGCTTGCAGCGCCATCTCAACATCAAAGTCGTCTATAAATATTCAGTGAACAAGTCTTCTCTCACTCTGGGAGCACCGTAGTAGTTTGCTTGATACATTCTACAGTCACGCCCTCTCCATTGGTACTTCTAGCAGAGAAGCAAAGTAAGTTGTGTAATTTTTGAAATTTTCTTTAACTTTCATTGATTTGAGAATTAAGATGAATTGTTTAAGCAAACATAGTATTGCAGTCAATAATCCAAATACAATATACTTTAGTACTTAACAGTAATAAAACGTTTATAATTCAACTAAATATGTAAATGTTACATTATCAAAACACATTCAACTTATTCAATTTCTTGGTGTTTGTTAAACACCAACAACATTTTGAACGTATATATGATTTCTGTCATTATATGCTTATTAAAATTATTTTAGGGACGATCTTTAATTGCTGAGAAACGCTACGGTAGTGTTTAACACTATACTAGCTTTACTACGCTAATGGGCCCGGCATGGCCAGGTGGTTAGAGCGCTCGACTTGCAGTCTGCAGGGTCGCGGGTTCGAATCTACCATCACAT